GGAAATTTCTACAAGGGAAATCCAGCGGGCTGAACGGATGTACAAAAGTACGCATGAAGAGAAGTATTTTCACTCAGCATAGCAGGTTTTCAGGGATGTTGCTGAGATGGGTCATTCTGAGTGAGGTGCTGGTGTAAATCATTCCAGGTGCTGGTAACTTATGGAAAAGCTGACTCCACTTATCAACAGAGGAAATGACCACAGAAGGCTGGTACTGGAAGATGAAAGGAGGGAGGAATTAAGTAGTTGAAAAGAAGAGAAAGGAACCAGCAGCTGCTACAGCACGAGTAAAAAGTGAGTTTGTTTGTTTCCCTACTGTTCCACTGAATTTGTTTGTGATCCCATTGCTTAGAGAACTGCTCCGAACAGAGTCACGGTGTCACTTACATCAAACGGTGTTGTAGCATGGTATTCTTCCAATTCAGTCTGGGGCTAAATTATGCAGGACAGGCATGGGGAATTTGGTCATCCGGTATCAAGGTTGTCAAGTGACTGAGGGAGATGAAGGTTGAAGTCTACCAGTATGCTGTTTTTCAGCGGACAGAGAATCCCCGCTGGGCTGTGGCTTGAAGCGGTCTGGCTAATTGCATAGGAATTCACCCACTGTTTGAAGGTGAAATGGGGCTAACTGCAGTCATGCAGCTTTTTGTCTCCAAGAACTGGCTAAAATGAAAGACAACATCCCAACATTAACTATTAAGCCTGCTCGCTCAGATGTTGCAATACTCAGATCAAAGGTCTGCAGAGATCTGGAACATCTATTCAGGGCTCGGGCAGGGCATCCATCATACATGCATATATTCAAATGACAGCTCACATTAAGTGAAAAAGAACCCTACCGTGAGTTTGAGTGTATGAAAATTTCAAAGCAGCTATAAATCCAACGTTACATGCAAAACAATGGTGCTTCCTTGTATTGAAAATCTTTCCTTCCTTTGTTATGAGTCAAAAGTTTAGCAAAAGTGACGTATGCCAAATTTATTTGCAAGAGCTGGAGTAGATTAAAAAAAAAAAAAAGCTAGGGGTAGCTAACAATAGTGACGCATAAGGGATTGTACTGCTCCAATGTTAAACATGAGATGATAATATCAACAACAACATTGTCTCAGGAAACTCTGGATCAGACTCGTGGCCAACTAAGTTACAGAAAGGCAAGGCACCAGGATTTCACTTGAAATTTTGAGGGTTATCAGGAAAAACGGTTAAGAGAGGGAGAGAAAAAATAGCTTTGTGTTCACCTTTTAGGAGTCTTAATTCAGCCCATACAAACCTTCAGCCCATACAAACTTTCATGGATTACATCCTATAGATACATAACAGGTCTTCAGCTGATGTGAAGCATTATAGCTCCATCTGAGTTTTCTGGAATGACATGTATTTCTTGAGGCTGAAGTTGTGGCCCTGACGAGAGTTTCTACTTTGCCTTCCACCTGCAAGTATGCACAAAGGCAGTGGGGTGTCAGATCACTGTGTGCTGAAGGAGAGCAGCACTGTGCGCCATGGCGTATGTACGTTATTTAGCATAACAGGGTCTTAGTTCTCAATAGTGGCTTTTAGCTGGTACTGCAAAATGGTTAAATTCATAATGTATCAGGTCAGAGGCACATCAGGACACTGACTGGGGTGGGTGTGTATTTTTTTTTTTTAAAGCAATGTTGAATAAAAATAAACTTCTATGTGAAATGTATTTTTAAATAACATTGACTAGCTCTGAATAAAACACTTAAAAACGGGCTGGCTGCCTAGGGATTACCTCCTTGCTTAATTCCACTTTAACTATGTTAACAGAGGGACTACAACTGTTCAAAAACAACTAAGATGTTTCAACACATCTTTTATCATAGCAAACATGCTGGTTTGCTTTTTCACTCAGAAATTATTGATCTATTTTTATTCATGCTTTTGAAAAAGGCTTATCTTGCCTGTAGAGAAGTTTAGTCTGAAAGGCAAAATTATGAGGAATCTACAGGCGATTGGAAAATACCCGCTGGAAGGCAGATGGCTTGTGCAGTTTTACCGCCGGCATCCCTGTGCACCCTGCCTTTAGCAGCAGGACACGCCTCGCGCTGCTCCCTTCTGGGGCCCAACTTCGTGTTCTAAAATCAGAATCGTTTATGTTCTTTGGCAGATTCCAGACGAGAAGTGAGAAGTTGAAGACTACTCCCATCTCCCGTGTGGACCACTGATGTCTGCAGAATGCAAACTTTGCTTATGAACACCAGCCAAGGCCCTAAAGAAAAACGCCCGAAGATGAACGACACGCAAATGGAAGCTGTGCTGGATGCTGTGAACGGTGAGTGCCACGTTGGAAGGTGCTTTGGTGCTGAGCCACCAAAGAAAGCATGCTGCTATTTAGCCAGCTCTAGGCCTGTGAATAATTCCAGTGACTTATTTCGCTTTCTCAGAAAGTTCGGAAGTTTTAAGTACAGTACGTATGCATACATGTGGGTCTGCTGTGGCCAGGACCATTTAATTTCACAACAACATCCATCTTTTCAGAAGTGACCTTCTTCAGCTGTATTTCTAGTCGGCTGTCCCCTTCCTCCCAAAAAACTGCCATCTCTCTTCCAACATCATGTTGGCATTAAAACTTAACACCCCACAACTCAGCTGTCCATCATTAACAGCCAGAACACCTCCTCCTCATCTAAAATTATATCCCCTCTTCATCTAAAATTACGGTAATTAGTCGCAGTGCCCATGCTGGAAGTGGAAGCCCCAGGGAAATTCAGAATTGGCACAGTCTACATTCAGTTCCCAAGGTATACACTTGGCTCCTCTGGGGAGGACAGACGATGGGAGCAGACGTTTTTAAGCGCTTACTCGGGAAGTTGTAAGCCGGGACGGGGCCGCGGCCGAGGCCGCTGCAGGCCCCGCGGGGGAGCCGGGGGCTGCGCCTCGCTCTGGGCTCGGCGGCTGAAGCAGTTGCGGAGGAAGGCGCCGGGGTGCC